TGGCCACTAACAGATCAGTAGTGTAGGTCCACACCCAGGAACCAAACCCAAGCCACCGAAGTGGAGCACACTGAACTTAACTGCTAGGCCACTGGGGCTGGCCCCCTTCCACGTTTCTGACATCTGCTGTTCCCTCCCTCACTCGTAGCAGAGAACCTGACTCTTTTCTCTTAGAGAAACAGAAACCATCAGATGAGAACCCTTCTGTTTCCCATCCTCATTCTCCAATCTGCAGATCACCTTTCTAACTGCCTCTCCTCACTTCCTTCTTTCCCTCCTGGAGAATAAGTGCCCCCTTCTTACTGTCCTCTGTTGATCCTTCGATCCAGCTAGCTATGTATAGGCTCTCTCCTCCGCCCCCACTGCTGTACCTCTTCCCTTGGCAACTTTATCCACATGCAAAATTCCTAAACTGTACGTTCAGCTCTGATCTCCTTTCCTCTGATTATATTTCTGATTGTTGACTGAATATCCTCATTCACATACCTGGTGGTTTCATCAAATTCAACATGTCCAAAGCTGACATCTTTATTTTTCTCTAAAAAGTCAGTTCCTCCTTATGTTTTCCCCATTTTGCTGAGTAGTGCCATGATCTGCTAAGTCATTCCAGCCACAAGTTTGGGTGTTTTTGTACTTGCTTGCATCGTTTTAGAACTGCATTGACCAATACAGGAGCTACTAGCCACATACAACTTTTTAAATTTGAATTTAAATTCATTAAAATAGAATACAATTAAAAATTCAATTCTTCAGATACACTAGGCACATTACAAGTGCTTACTAGCCACATGAGGCTAGTGGCTACCATAGGGGACAGTGTCGCTACAGGACATTTCCATTGTCACAGGAAGTTCTATTGGACAATGCTGCTCTAGGGTGTATTTTGCCATGTTTGCTCCCACTTTGCTGACTGTGTCTGAGCCCTCATCATTTCTCACCTGAACTGTCAGTACAGCTCTTGACTCGCCTCTCTTCTCTTCCTCACTCCAATTCATTCTCTTCTCTAATCAAGCGGTTTCTATAACATCCTCTTCTCCCTTTGGGAGTCCTTAAGGCATAAAGAAGTGAAGTAGAGTTCTGGCAGTTTAATGTCATCTCCTTACTTGAACTCTTCAGAGCCTTTTCTGAAGGCTCAGAAAAGTTCATTTCCTTTCCTCTTTATTTACTTGTTTAACAACTACTCAACCTTCAAGATTGAATCCCCCGGCATTTCCTGCTCTGAGAAGGCAGAGGCAGTGTTTCTTCTACACTCTGACACTCCTTGTTGGTCTCCCCTTTCTGGAGCATGTTTCATGTGGTGATGTTTGGCTAGACTCTGAGCCCCTGAAAGACAAGAATCTTACCTTCATACTCTACCAGGTTTCTAATGTATGCAACAGATTAACTTCTCTTCTGGGCATCTGGATGGGTTCTGGCTATGTACTAACTTTAGGAGAAATGAGAAAATGGCCACTCAAATCACGTTCTGTGTTCAGTTGTTGAAGAACTCCAGTAGAGAAGGGCTGTAAAGGATGATGAAGGACCTTCCCACAAGTATCAATTCCTAGCTTAGGGTAGCTGTGATTCCTGGCTGTCCCCTGACTCCAAACCACATATTTTGTAGAGAGAAATGTATGTTCTTTAATAAAATATCTTCAGGGAAAGATAGGTATATTAGTTAATTACCTCAAATTTGGTGGCTTAAAAGAACAGAAATTTATTCTCTCACAGTTTTGGAGTCCACAAAATCAAGGTGTTGGCAGGGCTGTGCTTCCTCCAGAGGCTGTAGAGGAGAATCCTTTCTTGCCTCTTCCAGCTTCTGGTAGTTCCTGATGTGCTTTGTTTTTTTTTGTTTTGTTTTTTTTAAATTTATTTTATTTTTTGTGTGTGTGAGGAAGATCAGCCCTGAGCTAACATCCATGCTAATCCTCCTCTTTTTGCTGAGGAAGACTGGCTCTGAGCTAACATCTATTGCCAATCCTCCTCCTTTTTTTCCCCAAAGCCCCAGTAGATAGTTGTATGTCATAGTTGCACATCCTTCTAGTTGCTGTATGTGTGGGACGCAGCCTCAGCGTGGCTGGAGAAGCGTGCGTCGGTGCGTGCCCGGGATCCAAACCCCGGCCGCCAGCAGCGGAGCGTGCGCGCCTAACCGCTAAGCCACAGGGCGGCCCCTGGTGTTCTTTGCAATCTCTGCGTCCATCTTCACGTGGCTTTCTTCTCTCTGTCTCAAATCTCCCTCTCCTTTTTCTTACAAGGTTACCAGTCGTTAGAATTAGGGCCCACCGTAAATCTAGGGTGATCTCATCTTGAGATCCTTAATTTAATTACATCTACAAAGACTATTTCAAAATAAGGTCACATTCACAAGTACGGGGGGTTAGAATTTGGACATATCTTTGTGGGGGACACAATTCAACCTACTGCAATGGATGAGAAAAAAGTGAGGATCCTAATAGCTGTGTCTCTCCCCTCTCCCAAGCCTCACTTAAGCTGAGTCAGCAAGTTGGTTGTAGCCTTCATTTCTGTGCATTTATTCGTTTAAATTAAGACTTCCACCCCCAAATCAAGAGGAGAGGCTGTTTAACTTAGCCAGCTGTCTTCCTTTCTTTCCATGGCAGGCTCATTCCACTCCCTTCAACTGGATTTTTTTCACAGCCTAACAACTATCATTAAATAATAAAGCATAGACCAAAATAAACATGTTTATCATCGTTTAGTTTTCAAAGACATTCTCTGAGTCCAAAGCTTTTAAAATGAAAATGAATATTTAGATTTAGAAATTATTTTAAGCCTGTGTGCCTGTGCACAAATACACTGTTGAAAATGACTGGAAGTAATTGTTTCTGGATAGTAAGAAAGAACTACTCTAAGAAAGAATAGATACTTTTTCTGTTTTTATTTTTCAGAGTCATCTAAATTTTCCACAATGAGCATGTTTTACTTTAGTGATTGGAAGAAGAAATATTTTTAAAACTATGGGAAATGTTCACGAAGTTTTGATAAATTGCCCAGTGTAATTTGTATTTTTAAAAAAGCAAGATGAGTGGGCCAATTGGGATTCTAGGAACAGACCACTGATTGTTTTGTGAACGATTCAGACACTTTAGATTTTGGAGTGGTGTTAACATTGTTAACTATTCAGGACCTCATCAGACTTCACAGCAGTAGAAATTGAAATCCATGTGGTCTCCACCAGGGAGGTTTCCCCCGGTGCCAGGAAGGTGGCCTGATGGGAAAATGGGCCCTCTCCCTTTGCCATGCGGCATAACGAGGCATCCACACTATGCCTGTTCTTGGTTTGTGGGGGACAATTCCAGAATGAGCCCTGTAATCTCTCACCAGCAATACCATTTGGCTTTGACAGGCATGTGTTTTTCTAGTCTTTAAACTATCTTGAGGTCAGCCCTGTGTCTGGCGTGTTATGGGGACAACACACATTTCCATCAACCCACAGTTACTGGAAGCCACAGCAGAGCATTAGGCACTTTTTAGCTGTTTCACTATTGAATACAATTTGCTCTGAGGGAATTTTTCTATTTTGGCTTCTAATATGTTGATGAATTATTGAAATTTCAATTACTTTTGCTTCCCAATTTAGTAGGATAGAGACATACAAGATATTTAATATGAAAATCTTTCCAGTCGCTTTTAGAGAAGGGTTTTGGTGGCAAGGCTGGCAGGGGTGCGGCTCTGCTCCTCCTGTCTCTGGGACTAAAGTGCTGTGTGGCCTTGGGAGTCCCTTAGGCCAGTGCTCCTCAAGATGTGGGCCCCTGACAGGGAGCATCAACACCTCCTGGGAGCTTGTTAGATATGCAGATTCTGGGCTTTGTCTCCCTCTACTAAATCAGAATCCCTCTGTGTTCTAACAGTCCTTCCAGGGCATTCTGGTGCACTGGAAAGTTTGGAAAGCCCTGCCTTAGATGTCCAGGTGTTAATTCTTCCCAGCAGGGCCTGGTGCCCATTTGTAAGGACCTTTGGGTGCTGGTAGTTTTTGCCCTTTAAAGTAGACATTGTACCCAACGATAAAACTGATCAAGGTCATCAGAAAGACCAATTTCTTACAACTACCTTCACTTACTTGGAACGCCTCCCCTTGTCACCGAGCCTAACCATAGAGAAGCAGGATTTGGACATTTAAATTCCGTGCAGGTAAATGTGTGTTTTAAATAAAATTCAAAGGGCCCTGTCTTTCCTTTTTATATAAAGGGGCTATTTAGATGTCCCTTCCCATGACCCCAGGGACAATCCCATCTTGAAGTCCCTAGGGAAAAGCTGTGGGGGCCATCTCTGTCACTTCACCTTAGCCTCATCTCCTTTCCAATGAAAATCTCTCTTCTCCACCATGTATACTGAATAACTTGCAGTTCTTCAAGCACAGCATGTCATCCTGATGCCTGTGCTCTTGTGCGAGATGTTCTCCCCACCTCACCTCACCTCACCCCTACAGTCACCAAAGCCAGCCCTTACTCCTCTGTTAGAACCCTGTGCATCTGGAAGACTCTGCATCTGGAAGACCGGTCCCTTCACTGCCTCCTTAACCCTTCCCTGATGATGTCAGATGGAGTCACATTCGTCCCCTTTTCTGCTTCCTACAGCACTCGAGATAGATATTTATAGCATTTGTGCACTTGTGTTAAAAGTATTTGTCTTTCTCCTCTGAGCTCCGAGTTCCATGAGAGTGGAGATTTCATCCTGGGTTCTCTATCTTCAGTGCCCAAGACAGCATCAGGCACAGGAGGCTGAATGAATAAGCATTCCTTCAAGATGGTCATTCTACCTCTGCTGAAAGCTTCCAATGCCTTAGAAAATGTGAACATCTCATACTTATGAAGAACAGATGATGGCCAGCCAGGGGCAGGTCTAGTTAAGAACACAGTGACTTTAACGCAGACTCAACCAGCTTAGCTTTTCAGTGAAGCTGATCCTTTAATGTAAATGAAAGCCATGCCATCTACCCATCTGGCTGTTTTGCTCTTTGACCAGGAAAACCACCACTGTGTCTAAAGGCATTATTATTTCAGGTTCGAGAGCTTCAAACTCGACTACAGAGCGTGCAGGCCACAGGGCCCTCTAGCCCTGGCCGCCTCACTTCCACCAACCGCCCAGTTAACCCCAGCACTGGAGAGCTGAGCACAAGCAGCAGCAGCAATGACATTCCCATCGCCAAGGTGAGCTCCTGGGGACGAGCGGAAACTCCTCCTGTTATCTGGAAGCACCAGCCTCTTCTGAGCACGGCCACCGTGCAGGCACGCTGTTAGCTCAGATGGTCCCAAGGGGCTTCCCTGGGGTCTCACACAGGCCTCCTTTGCTGGAGCTGCAGGGAGCGATAACCCACTAATAGTTTTAAGTCTCTCTTGGCTGCAACCTGGAGCCAGCTCTCATTAATCAGCCGGCTGGAGCATGTCACAGCTGACAAGTCATTGTGGAGAGTGAGACATTGTGTCAGGTTCTACAATACTAAGAGGTGGATGGAGAGTTGCTCTCAAGGACTAAGGTTCAGCCCAGGAGGGGATCCTGTGTAATGAACCAATGATCTCCCCACTCTCGGGACTGACAGCCCTGCCAGCAGAGAAATAGATTATGATGGGCGGGCCATGGCAGTTGTGAGAAGTAGCACCACCCATTCTCTGCCGCAGCCCCGGCTTGTATGTTGAGTCTACCCCAGAGAGACTGTTCAAATGATACATCTCCTCTTCCTTGACTTGCCGTACCAGTCTCCACAAGAAGGTTGGTTCTCAAGCGTCAAGTTTAGTAAGTTAGTCAAACCAGTGTTTCTCAACCAGAAGTGATTTTTCCCCCCAAGAGATATTTGGCAATGTCTGGAGACATTTTTGATGGTCACAACTGGAGTGCTACTGGCATCTTGTGGCTAGAAGCCAGGGATGCTGCTGCACATCCTACAGTGCACAGAACAGCCCCCCACAGCAAAGAATATCCAACCCAAAATGTCAGTAGTGCTGAGGTTGAAAAACCTTGGATTAAGAAAATGGTAGAAAAATTGGACAAGTGAGTTTTTAAGAAATTGATTAATCAGTTTAGTTGCCATAGTTAAGCAATAACCCTGTATAAACATAGTCTCAATGGTTTATCTGGGGAGAGATGTGTCACTTTTTGATAATTTTTTGTTTTGCTTTTTAAGATTGCTGAGAGGGTGAAGCTATCAAAGACCAGATCCGAATCTTCATCGTCTGATCGGCCAGTCCTGGGCTCAGAAATCAGTAGCATAGGGGTGAGTGTTCATGAGAAGCAAGGCAAGAAAGTGCCCAATAGAGCTATCCAGACAGTGGCTTGTAGATGATAGATGAACTTCCAAAGTTCACCTCCAGTAAACCAGTTGATTATAATAATAGATCATACCTGATTTTCTTCCAAAGAATCAGACTAAAATGTGTAGTGGTTTCCACATGGTGAATTGTTTCTTCAACTTTAAGGAAGATTTTTTTTTCTCTACTTGAAACCATTCAGAAAGAAATGATTTAGATCTAGTTTCTGGTAACATAGATGAAAATCTTGAAGTATCTGCTTTATATCACCCTGATGCCCCAGAGACTGAGTGAGTCAGGAAGCTCTAAAAGAACTTCACCTTTCACACGTCCCTCTGAAAGGGAATGTGCTCTCCAGTGAGGATGAATGCTGCCTTTGAAGGGTAGCCCAGTGCCATGACAGAAAGGAACCGTCTAGCTTAGTATTAGCGTTTTCATTTGCAGAGCTTGCAAACACCCTGGGGCTGTAAGCCGATGGATGGTGAAAAGAGAGTAGTTTCAGTCCCTGGGGGATATCTTTTAGGATTGAGGATGAGGCTGGGAGAGCCAGCTGTTTGATCCTTAGGGGTAGAGAGAACCCGAATAGCACTTTCAAGGCCCTAATTTAGTATTTTGTGCTAAGTAAAAATTGCATGCATCCACATTCCATGCTAAAGCCAAATTATGAAAATAAAGGAGTCAGCCTCTCTCCTTGGCTACAGCAGCTGGAGACAGGGGCCTGGAGTGGCAAAGGATTCAGGAAGGGAAGGAAGTCCAGACTCTGTTCAATATCCAAAATTTTAGGGACTCTCAAGAGGCATGAACTCCCCCGCTCCTCCCTGCTTGCTGCCCAGTAGCATGTGATTGGGAGATGGAGCTGTATTCTGATCCTGTTTTATGTACTGCTTTCACAGTAGTTAGCTTTTTATAGTAGAATCATATTATACAAACAGATCAGGGTAAGCAACTCTTGGTGTCTGATCCTTAAGGAATATCAGCTTTAAATTGTTTTGCATGCAAAGCATGCCTGGGGCTGGGCGTCCCTGAAGTGACACTGTCCAGAGGGAGATTAATGCTTACCTGTACAGGTGTCCAGCAGCGTGGCAGAACACCTGGCCCACTCTCTTCAGGACTGCTCCAACATCCAAGAGATCTTCCAAACACTCTACTCACATGGATCTGCCATCTCTGAAAGCAAAATTAGAGAGTTTGAGGTGGAAACGGAACGGTTGAATAGGTAAGAGGAAATCCTGTATATCTGAGTAGTGGTGGGGAGCTGCCCCTACTCCCCTCTGCAAAGATCAATTCAAGTTGGCTTGTGTATTGTGACATAGAGTGATGCTGTCAGGCTGGTGGGTGGCAACTTGCCGCCATCCTGCTCATCAGAGGAGTGCTTATAGCAGTGAGGGCTGGCTGCATGGGTGTTGTGTGACCTGTGTATTCGAATACACAGGGCCTCCTGCTTAGAAGGACCCCATACTTGCTTTACTGCTCTGCTCTGTCGCCGTTTTAAATTCTTAGTCATTTGTGAACAAGGGGCCCTGCCTTTTGATTTTACACTGGCCTTTGCAAATTATGTAGCAAGTCCTGGGAGCAGTCCATATGGAATGACAAATAAGTCAGAATGACAAGATGGCTCCCAAGCATGCAGGCCTAGGCTACCGAGAGCCGCAGAAAGAAGTTCTGGAATGTTGAGTCAGCACCCCAGGGGCTCCTGGAGCTACCAGGAACCAGCAAAGCAATGTGATGGAGGCAGTCCTGGGATCAACGGGCATGCTGGTCTAACCCTCCCTGCCATAACTGAGGTTGCCTGATTTTATTTATGCTCTTCACAGACGTGTGCAACCCTCAGTCCCTGTGTCTTATCCTATTTAGAATGATTTTCTAAGTAGGTCTAACTGTCCTGCTTAGAATAATCTTACCAAATACCCAGTTTTGTGGATTCTTCCCAAGTCTCATGACAGAGGATGTTTGAATTTGTACTCCTGCCTCCTGGCAAAGACTGACTTGTGTGTCATCCCAGCAATGAGAGAATTGCTAAAAAAGCAAAAGAGAAGGACCAGAGCCAAACCATGGTAACCACTACGACTCAGAATTGGTTCCACAGTGCAGAATGGACTGTTGAATCACATCCAAGTGTGGCCTGGCTGCCTTGACCTACCAGTCTGCAGTGGCAGAGCATAGTAAGAACTGGAAAGGCTTATGAACTAACCAGGAAGAAATGTGGATACCACTCCCCATTCATTGTTGCTTAATGCCATTCCCCTTGTGTAGGGCAAACCTGGATAAATTGAATTATCGTGTTAGTCCTCCGTGATTTGAAGCTGTTTAATATAGCACTAAGAGAACTAAGGAAATGTGGCAATCTAGGTCATTTTAAATCTTGAAATTAAATGGTTTCCTTATTAAATCCAAAATACTTAAGAGTGACAATCCTGATGATTACCTTGTAGCAGTAAAGAAGCAGCCCTCTCAGTGTAACAGGCTAGGGAGTGCTTAAAAATTGAATCAGATATGCTCTTTGCAGACTAATGAAGTCAGATGCCGTTAGGGGCCCTCTGTTTAGTGAGAATCTCCTCTTACAGATTCTGGGATTTAACAAGCCTACTTTGTGGTTGAATCTGGGGGAGGTTCCCTTCTCTTCAATTATGTGCACCTAGGAGAGACCAAAGAAGGGGGAACTATTTGGTGCTTGTAGCTCACATTATTATGGTGTTTAACAGCTTACAAAGGGCTCTCACAGACAGCCACTTAATCCTTAACTTGGAAGGACAGTCCCATTGTGCAAATGAGAAAACAAAGGCTTCCATGTTGAGTGACTTGCCTTAAGTCCAGAGCTATTAAATAGCCTGGCCAGAATTCCAACCCTTTCCCTTTGACCTCACCTCCATTGTCCTCTCTATGACCATAGCTACTGCTAGAACATGGGAGTTCTTAGAAATAATCTACCAGTATGTCCTGCTGTCTATCATTTTACTACCTCTTCCAAAGTTGGAGACCTATTGTGCTCCAAAAAATGACGGCCTTTAACTTGTGAGGGGGGTGGGTCATACCTACTCAAAAGTGTGTTTCCTCATTTAACAAATCTGTGTTAAGCACCTCCTATGTGCTGGGCTATTTGGCATGCAAAGGAAAGTAAAACACACAACGTCCCTGCACTGATGGAGCTTATATTCTATAAGGGGAGCTAGACAAGAAGCAAACAAATAAATAAGATTGTAAGAAAGCTCCAAGAAAGAGGTAAATAGGACCCTGTGATAGAGTAACACGGGGGTGATTGTAGATAGGTAGCCAAGAAGACATCTCTGAAGAGAGGACGTTTAAGTGGAGATTTTAAGGGAAAAAGGAGCAGCCATATGACAAACTAGGAAGAGTCTTATGGGCCAACTTATCAACCCTAAGGCTGCAAAGGGGTTGGCATGAAGTAGGAACTGTACACAGGCCAATGGAACTGAAATGGAGTGCATGGAAGGACGTGGCAGAGCAGGCAGGTCTGGGTGGGGTGTGGATGTTGAAGCTGTGGACAATATTTGCTCTTTATTCTAAGTGTCATTGGAAGTCGTTAATGGGTTTTAAGTAGGGGAAGAACAGATCTGATTTAAGTTTCGGAAGATCACTCAGGTGTGGGCAAGAGCGGAAGCAGAGAGATTATTGCAGAGGACCAGCCAGCGTGGCCAAAGGGTGGAGGTGACGTGACGGGTTCAGTGTATGTTTGGTGGTAAAATCAACGGAAACTGCAGCTGGATTAGATCTGGATGTAAGAGAAAGGGATGGTCTCAAAGAAGATTCTCAGGTGTCTCACCTGTATTGTTGGGTAGGTGGTAGTGGCATTTACTGAGAAGGAGAAGATGGGGGAAGAGAAAGTTTGGAGAAAATCAAGAGTCCCGTTTGGGGACATTAAATTTGAGGTGTCAGTGTGACACCCAAATAGAAATATCAGGAAACAGCCGGATATGTGGGGCTGGCTCTCAGAAGAGAGGTCTGGGCTAGAGAAATTTGGGAGCCACGGGAACATAAATGCCTATTAAAGTCATGGGACTGGATAAAGTCTCCCCAAGGGGCAGAGTGTTGGTAGAGGAGGGGGCTGGGATTGAGCCCTGACAGAATGCCAGCCCTCACAGATTTTATAGAGAATGAGGAGCCAGCAAAGGAGACAGAAGAAATGACCTTTAAGGCAGGAAGAAAACCAATAGAGACCTGTCATGACCCAAGTGAGGGAGAACATTGTAAGATGGAACGAGTAGCCGATTACTGGGGTATTGCCTGAGAAGGCCCCTGAGGTGGGATTGACCACATGGAGGTCTGTAAGCTGAGTAAACAGTTTCATCTAATTAGTGGGGACAGAATGTACCCTAGAGCAAGTTGAAAAGTAAATGGAAGAGTGGGTACTGTTTGAAGATGTCTTAATGTGAACGAGGACAGAAAAATATGTTCTCCTAACACCTTACAGGGAGTTGACCTTGTTGTTGCCAAAGCCTCTCAGAGGTCTTAGTTATACACTCACCAGACATCTCACATGTTGTTGAGTGTCTCCTTATTCTGCTCTATGATCTGTGGTCCCAAGATTTATCCTGGAGGCAAATGGCTTCCAAGCAAGCCCCTTTACGTTTTGAGAGACTTGCATTTTGTGTGTGTGAAATCCTATGTCCCTTTAAGACTTGGTCGTCAGAGTACTACAAATGGGCTTGTCCCATGGAAGATGAATCATTGCATCTAGAGCGTCAGTGTCCTCAGACAGAAAACAGAGGCGCACTGAAGGCTTAGGTTTTTCTGATCTGTTTTCTGACTTCGCCATAAACTCATTTGCCCTGAATTTTCAGTTCTGATTCCTATAAAACTTAAAGTTCCCACTGCTTATCCTACCAGAAGTTAGCAGTTGAGGGACTGTCCAACCTGGAAGGAACTTTGGACACAGTCCACAGTTCCTGGTCCGCTTCCCATTCAGAGGCCCCTTGGGGGTGGTTTCTTGTTCACTCACTGATTCGTCTTTTGCCTCTGCTCTGTAGTGAGTAGTTACGGGTACAGGATCTGGGGTGGGACTGGCTGGTTCAAATCCCAGGGCCCGGTACTTAACCTTCGTGGGCCTCCAATTCCTCCTCTGAGAAATGGAGACAATAATACTTAATTCAAAGGGCTACAGGAGGGTTATCAACCAAGGGCTCAACAAAGAGTAGCTGTTACTATAATGTGACTTTTCGATTGTCCCCGAGGAGGGTGGTCTCTTGAAGCACACCAGGGTAACTCTCATGAGGGCCAGCGCTCACGCAGTTGGCTCCTTTCCTTGGTAGAGACCCAGAGCCTCATGAGGTACCTGGCACATGGCGTGTCGATGGCTGGGCAGGAAGTAACCAGGGGGCTTATTTTTCATTTCTAATGCACTCAGAATTTAGTGATTCTTGAACTTAGAGTCGCTTCCTTGATTATTTTGTGTGAGTTACATTTGCAAAAACATCTGACAAGCTCACGTCCTAACATGCATTTCTGGCTTCAGTCTAGAGTAGATGACTAAAATACTGGCAAATTAATTGTAATCCTAGGGTGAAATTGTGAAGGTGATTTTTCTTCCTTTGTAGCCGTATTGAACACCTCAAGTCCCAAAACGACCTCCTGACCATAACCCTGGAGGAATGCAAAAGCAACGCTGAGAGGATGAGCATGCTGGTGGGGAAGTACGAGTCCAATGCTACCGCACTGAGGCTGGCTTTGCAGTACAGGTAGGAGATGGGCGTGTGGCCACTGCAGTTTAGAAATGCACCCACAGTAACCTTCTGTGTACAAGTAGAACACGGGCTTTTAGAAGACATGATTAGGGACCAGCAGATACTAGTGTGATCCATATTGAAAGTCAGTTAGCACCCCGATAGGAAGTAAGAAAATAAGGATAATGAATATGCTGTTTGTAAACAGGTATGTTTCTGCTAACGTAGTCAACTTAAATATTATTTCGTTCAAGTAATATCACTCAGATCATCAACTTTTGTGTTACATATTCACCTGTTCTTTCCAGTCTTTATTCATATATATTTTATATTGTTGTAAATCTAGTGCATTCTATCACTTCAATTTGTTATAGTTTTATAATGTTGCTTAAGCGTCTCCATTTATTTTGAATGGCTGTATCCCCTGCTTCAAGTTTATATGTCATTATTTTATTTACTCGTTTCTCTAAAAGACATTTAGACTTTGCAAACTCTTGATATTGAAAATAATTCTGTGGTGAATAATTTAATACAGATAATATCTTCTATCTTTTGGGTATTTTCCTTGAGATAAAATCCCTGAGGCAGGAATTATAGGTCAAAGGATATGAATATGTTCCTGGCTCTTCAGGCATGCCACCAGTTTTTTCCCACAAAAACAAGCCAGTTTAAATGAGCACGATTCATTCATTGATGAGCAAGTGATCTATGAATGCACCACCTTTTTTCAGCCTCATCAGCTTTGGAATTTATCTATTTTTAAATCACTGCTTGTTTAATAGCTACAGAACTATGCTTTATTATTGTTTTCATTGATTTCTTTTATTAGTGTCCCCACTTAAGCATATTTGCCAAGGTCCCGGAATGGTGATGGTATCTTACTCTTGGCATCCTCTGAAAAGTTCAATATTGTTTTAAGAAACATTGTTTCTTCAAAAAACAATATCAAACCAAAATATATGAGACCAAAGTTAGAAAGCGATCATACTTATGTACAGACACACCAAAGCAAACAGATAATCCATCTATGATAATGCTTGAAACAGACTGTTCTGCGCCCGCAGTCTGCCTTTCATTCGCATGGATGAAGCAATGTCCCAGTGCCTCTAACCTGAAGATGAACTGCCCTTGAAAGGAGGAGCTGCCAGCACCCAGAGCTAGTAATTGGATCTCTTTCCTTATCTCTTAGAAAAGGAAGATGAAAGTAAAGACAATCAAAAAACAGATGGTCTGTTGACTAAATGTTGAGTAAAGCAACATTTCCCCTGCTCAGCTTGAAGAAACTACTTGGTTATTTGCTTAGGGGTAGAATTCTGCTACCGGAGGCATCTTGTCTAGTACCACTCAGGTGTTATGCACATACCCCACCTCCTGTGCAGACGTGGGTCTGTGTGGTGTCATGGCAGCAATGGGAAAGGGGTCACTCTTTGATCCTCTACCTGATGTGCCCAATAATAATGGGCACAGAGAAGAGAGACTAATTTTCTTCCTCTTAGAAATCCAAAAGCTCAAACTCTTGTCAGAGATTTTGTTTCATGAAACAATTTTACAAGCATCTAATAGAACTTTCTGTGCTGATGGAACTGTTCTCCGGCTGTGCTGTCCAATATGGTAACTGCTAGCCACACGTGGCTATTAAAACATACGAAATATGGCCATTGCAACGGAGGAACTGAATTGTTCATTTTATTTAACTTAAATTCTTGTTAAATAGCCACATGTGGCTAGTGGCCACTGTATTGAATAGTGCAGGTCTAGGTCAAAATAGTCTCCTTTCTGGCGTGTTATCTATTATTGTGTAACTATTTATTATGTCAGTTTCTAGGGTCAGAAATCTGAGAGTGATTTGGCTAGGTGGTTCTGGCTCAGAGTCTCTTAGGAGGTTCTGGTCAAGCTCTCAGCCAGGACTGCGTCAGCTGAAACCTTAACTGGGGCTGGTGGATCTGCTTCGAAGGAGGCTCATCCACATGGCTGTTGAGTGGAGTCCTCAGTCCGTCACTGGCTGTTGGCTGGAAGCCTTAGTTTCTCACCACATGGGCCTCTCCATAGGGCTGCTGGGGAGTCTTCAAGACACGGCCGCTGGTCTCCTCTAGAGAGGACGATCCAAAAGGGAAAGTAAGAGAGAGAGAGTGACCAGGATGGAAGTCACAGTGCGATATAATAACCTAATCTTGGAACTGACATGCCTTCACGTCTGCCATATTCTTAGTTACACAGACCAACCTTGGAGCATTACACAAGGGTGTGGATACCAGTGTGTGGAGATGGGGGCTGTGCATCCTGGAGGCTGGCTTCCACGGGCACATTACCTTTCCCTTTTAGCTCATCATCAAATGGGCAACAAACTTGCCTCTCCCACCTTTATTGCTTCTCTGGTATTTTTCTAGATCCTAGTTTAAAGTTTAAAAGAAAAGGTGGGGGGCGGGCAACATAGCAGAGCAAGCCCCTGGCTTCGTCCAGGAATCTTCGTGGGTGTTTCCTCACTTCTGTGGACAGCGAGGCTGAGAGGCAGGTCCTGAGCTTCTTCCCACGCCGGGAACGGCTCCCCGTCCTGTGCCAGGGCTGAGGATGCCACGTGCTTCTGTTTCAGTGAGCAGTGCATAGAAGCCTATGAACTCCTCCTGGCGCTGGCCGAGAGCGAGCAGAGCCTCATCCTGGGGCAGTTCCGGGCGGCCGGTGTGGGGTCCTCCCCTGGTAAGTGTCGCCCGAGTCCCTCCACGCCTCTCCCTTCTCCTCCCCTGCCCCTTTCGCTCTCCTGCCCCCATCTCGGCTGTTGGCACCGGAACACCTCCCGACAACGTGAGACTCGCTTGTCGAGTACGTTTTGCGTTTTTTTCCTCATGACTGAGTGAGTAAATTGTTTATGTTGAATGCAGCGAGAACTGGAGTGGAAACAGAAGTACAGACAAGTTAAAACAAACAAGCCCTCTTAGGAAACATATTCTCCCAGGCTGACGGGAGGACCAGATGGAGCCGGAGGCCCATGTTCATGATGAAAGGGACCGACTTTTCCACAGCCGCTCTCTGTGATGCTGGTGGTTGAGGGTCCCTTTGCCGCTGCGTGGCCTCTCCCGTCTCGTGGCCTCTGCTTTATTGGCTGTGCTTTTTCTCCAGGTTTGTCCCTTTGGGTGGTCTTGAAGCATGGGTCCCCCCTGCCTCTCCAGGTGTCTTATGAATATAGAGGAAATGGTTTCACGCCTTGCTCTTATCAGCTTCACAGAATGCTAATCCCATGAGCCCAGGCCCTGCCATGGAGCAGAGATGTCTGCCGAGCCACCTCTCCCTGCCCCTTCATCCCCCTGCCTCAGGGGTCATGTGCCCTGTTGGCCTGATTTGACCCTCCAGATCTGCACTGCCCCCCACTTCTGTTCCTCAATTTTGAGTAACTAGAAGGGGTATTAAGTGAAAAAGACCCAAGTATGGCATCTTAGCGACATTTGCTAAAACTTCGCCAGTGATGATGGCTCTGGGCCTTGCAGTAGCATACAGAGGACTGCAGTAGACATAGTGCTTGAGAAGAGCTCTCTCAGTCAAGGGAGAAAGATTGCATCTCTCAGTGCTGAGGCCTGGATACTACCTCACCCTACACTTTGTCACCACGGCTTATTTGGAGAAGCAGCGACAGGTAAACAAAAAACTGAGGTGACCAGATCATTCCAGAGGCAGAGATGGGTGGTGTGACAGGCCAGGAGTCCCCAGCCATGGGGACCAGGCCATGTCACAGACTGGCTTTTCTTCAAGAGCTGTGAGCCCCCATTAGGGCTGGTCCTCTAAGGACACACCTTGGAAAGAAGGGCCCCTCCCGAATGCATCCCCATCCCCACCCTTGCCGGGCAATCTCGCCAGCTGCTCCTTCTTTACCTGGGGTCTAGCTTTTGCACTGAACACGCACATATTTGTCCTCCTTCGGTTTTGTCATGTACAGGAATCTGAAACAAATCTGAAAGAAAGGAAGTATCCTGGGTATTAATTTCCTGCTTTCATATCCAAGTTACCCAGCAAGGGAGCAGGCCTCCATTTGTAGAGGCGGCCATCCTCTACTCCCCTCTCTCTTTTTTTTTTTAATAGAATTACCATCCCAGCCCAGAGGTAGAAACTTTGCCAGCATTTCCATTAGAAACCTCATTTTTCAGGGTCTTTTAACTGAACCATAAAACTTTATTCCTCATATTAAACAGATCTAAAATGATCTTGGCCTGCTGTCAAGTTTTTTTTTTTTAATATATGTATTAAGGAAAACGATCAATTAAAGGGAAAAAATCAATCATCTTATTTCCAGTTTGTATCAGAGGAATGTCTTAAACCATTCCGTCCTAGAAGGGTGCCTTTTATTAGGCTTGTATCTACTCAGCACAGTTACTTGGTAGGAGCCGAAAGGACTTAAATAAATCTGCGTTTAAAATATTTAAAATCAATAATGAAATACTTTGTATTAACCTAATCCTGGGTAGCTCGTGGATATATTTATAAAATGAGCCAGTCAGTAATATCATGCCCACTTCAGAATTCAAAGAGCAGTCAGTTGGTGAGATGTATGTAAAATATCTTACTTGTGGAAGGAGGAAAGGCATGGACGTCGTCAGGGAAATGGCCAGAGGGAGGTCCGAGGAATCTTAGCCTGCAGGACATGTGCACCCACAGTTCCTCCCCTCTCTCCGTAAAGCTGAGGGTTGGCTTAATTTTTAGCAGTTCCCTATTAAATCTCGCTCTTCCCTTCTGCTGACAATGGCAGTTAATCAGTCACTCTGCCCTAACATGCCGTGTAGTTGCACAGCAAAGCAAGTACTCAGTTTGTGACATTTACTCACAGTATCAATTATTGTGGTTTTTTTCTTTGTTTCTTTTGACTGCACAGGCATTCATTGCATTCATTCTAGGTGATTTAGACCAGTGGTTTTCAAACTGTGCCAGGGACCCTGGAGGAATTTCTTTGGGCCTCAGCAGTGGGCTTGGAGGGTGGGGAAGCTGCGTGTGTGCCCCCCACCCCTGCCCACTTCAACTAGGTGCACATTTACCATTCTGTATCTTAGGCTTTGGCATAAAAAGATTTCATTTGAAAATATTTGGAAGGCCATGGGTCTAGGCTGTAGAGATAGCAAACCAACGACTTATGTGGCCAGCACAGTGTTTAAAACACAACAAGAAGGTGAACATCTTGGGCAAGGAATTCACTATCTGGCTCTGTGCTGGTGCCCACCACTCCTGATGTTTTGCTCCAGCCCAGTTACCTGGCTCCTGGAGGCATTTGAGCTCGCCACTGACCGTGACCAAGCTGAGAGAGAAAGGTCAGGGATAGCATCAGTACAGAAAATACAGAGCCAATGTAAAGTTCTGTCTTTCTTTTTTTTTTTTT